TAGGGGGGCACAGGATAGAGAGCGTGGTATAGCAGGGGGAGACACAGCAAAGGAAAGACCTAACGGTTGCAAGAGACCTGATGCAGCTCTGGTCCTGATTCAGCAAGAGGCCAAAGCCAGAGTTATCATGGCTACTACCTGGTAAGCAGCAGTGAGTGGTGGGGACGGACAGTAGGGGAGACAAGTGGCAGGTGAGTACGTGGTGGGGCAAGTTGCAGCGGTCAGGCCACCTGTCCTTCTGCTACTGCTTTCCCTGCTGCAAAGGTATGGTAGGAAGGACGCATTTAAGATGACCTCCTAATTATTAGATTCAATACGTGGAAAATTAAAACAATTGCATAATTTTGTAATGATTCTATGTATAGGAATATAATTATTGGGGGTCATTTTAAACTCAAAGTAATTTTGCATAAAAATGTAAGTAATACAAATTAGTAAAATAGACTCCTAATGAACCTGAAACCAATATGCAACAATATGAAACAGGGCCAGCAGAAAGGAGGGAACAGTCATTTAAAAAAATTAAAAAACCTGGTAGTTTTCAAGTCCATTGAGGCTCTGATATTTCACCAGTTCTCTCACAAACCAAAGGCTTGGTTCACTAAGGACTCCAAAAAGTGAAGACGCTGGACCAGTACACAGCAGTACACACTGACCATACCACAAAGGACCAGTTACCACAAAATTAAGTCACCCTTGTTTTTTCTTTGATTATGTGTCTGGGCGGTAGCCACAGTAGATGATTAACATGGGGATTTCCTCCCAACATGCTGGGATTGAGACATTCCAACTGATTTAGTTGAACAGTGTTGTAGTGCTAGATCTTCTTGAATATAGCATCTGACATAGCAGCCAAGTCCAGTGCATAATGTTTGATACAGGTCAGTGATTACTTCACACGAGTGTTCTGCAGATTTTAAGACATGACATATCTGAAGCAGGCTGAAGAGCTTGTCTGTGCTCTGGTGGAGCAAGCCTTAATACTTGGAAAGCAAGGTAGACTGTGAATTGGTAATAAATGCATATGTATTGTGTGTTATATTTTAAAAATGTCTATGAAATGGCTGAGCTTTTTGAATTGCCAACTATAGCTAAAATAAATTTAAAAAGCAATCTAAAATGTTTGGTTCTATCAGAATAAAGATCCCCAAAACATCCCGGGTTTGTAAGTTCTATCTTGGTGCAGAATGAGTATTGAGGGAAACAGGGAAGTTACATTACTGATAAAGATGTACTTTTTAGACCACCTCTAAGATACACTAAGATACTAAAGCAACCAGAGGGTTATATTAAAATTTTACTTGCCTGATAATACTGTAAACCAAGTCAACAAAGCCCCTAAAATCACAATTAGACAATTTAAACAGTGACAGAGCTAAGGACACCAAAACTAGTAATACTCTCTAAATAACATTTGTTTTAGTTTACTTTTAAAAGCAATTGTCCATTCAAATATCAAGAACAACACTGCTTACAGAAAGAAGTTTTAGCCTAAATCTCATTAGCTTTTTAAGCAGGAACCACAGGAAGAGACTATATTCATAGTGGCACATGAATATTTTGTAATTAGGAATTTTAAATGCAACTTGATGAAATTTGAGAGCAACTGGAATTCAGAAAGTGCAGGAAATATTTTCAGATAATTGAAGGCTAGAATTTGGCTGTGAAGCAAATCAATAAATCTAAAATTGATGATAAACATCAGTGTAGACACAGTCCACAATGTCTACAGCAATCTTGAAGTCACCCTTAGTCAGCTTAAACCATACCAGCTCCCCTTCGTTAGCTATCATGCCAACCTCAAATGCTGTCCATGTTGTGTTTTTTTTTTTCTTGAATATGACACTAAGGTGTATGCTAGGTTGCTTGACAGTGACTTTGGGGAAATCCACTGATGGACTAGTTATTTCTCCATGCTGAGAAAGCTGAGGTGCAAATAAATAAATACATAAATAAAAAAGAAGAAGAAGAAGAGGTAGTTATGCAATTGCTGCTGACAGACTTCCTGTTCATAAGGCCTCCAACACACTGGTTAGAGACTAGATAGGAAGTGAGCAACCTCAATACCCAGAAGTTCAGCAGAGCTTCCATGGGATTGCTGCCAGGGATTGATTTAGGGGTTCATACTCTAGATCAGGGATGCTTAACCTCCAGCCTGTGTGCCAAATGCAGCCTACAGAGCCATTGCATTTGGCCTGCAGGGCTTTCCATGGGTCAGGAAATTTGGCTGCAGGGGAGCAGTAGCCATTAATATGGCCATCCTCCCCCTACCAAATTCCCAAATGTCAAGGTCCACATGGCAGGCCTTCAGAGCCGGCCAACACCACTTTCCTCCCCATGGGACTAGGCTGGGGCCTGGCCATACCCCCTTAACTCAAAGGGCTGGGCCATGTCCCCCCACCCCTCATGGGCCAGGTTGGGGCCTGGCCACAGCAGCACCCCCCCACAACCAAGCGAGCTGGGACATGCCCTCTTCCCTCCCTGCCAGCCACGTTGGGACCTGTCCATGCCACCTCCTTGCCCCCAGGCCAGGCTGCCTTCCCTCTCCAAAGGGTCAAGTCAAGTTCCTTTCCCCTGTAGGGGTGTATTGGGGTTGAACTGCACCCACGTTACTCCACACAGCCTGACAGTACCCACTGATCCCACCCAGCTGCTGGATAGGGAACACCAGCTGGATCTGACCCATGGATGGACCGGGCACTGCCAATCCAGCCCACCAGGCAAAAAGAACACTACTGTTCTGGATGGTTAGCATATAAAATGGGATTGAGGATGACCTCAACTACCTACTGCACTGCTTATGATCACAAAAGCAGATCTCTGTTAACCATGCTGATGCATAAAGTTGATATCACTGATATCAATGAGGGTTAGTGTCTTAGAATGAACTACTGGGTTCAGAAGATTCCCTGCGCTTGAACAGAGGACGTACTCAGACGTTCAAGCACCGTAAGGAGCAGCCAAGGGACAGTGTGTCTAGAACCACTCTCCCCCTCAGACTTAAGCTCCCTCTCAACCCACCGTTGCAACTGGGTGGGAGTTACAGGGCACTCCTCCTTACTCCAATAAACAGATGGACTCAATTTACAGAGTGCCTTTGCTACCCCATACCACAACCCGGTATCGGACCAACCCGGCATCCTTCTTTCCGACCCCTCTCCCTTCCCCTTCCGCAGCCTCTTAAATAGGTCCATGTCAAACATCAGGGGAATCCCACTCTCACACCAATTGTCTTAGAATGAACTACTGGGTTCAGAAGATTCCCCGCGCTTGAACAAAGGATATACTCACAGTTGTTCTCACCCTTGCAAAGCTTTATTTAAGGATACTCGCAGAGGCAGGAAACAGGACAGAGCAGAGAGGATGGTCACTTCACATTGGCTCTGGGTGGCAGCCACCACCCCGCATAGTTCCCCTGGCCCCGGAGTGTCCCGATCCCAGAGATGCAATAGCCTGTGCCGGGGCTCCTCGCAAGTCAGAACTCTTGCCAGAGTGGAGGAACTCATCGTAACTTAAGAATGTACAGCTTATATAGTCTGGAGTAAATAACATTATCTCGAACGAAGGATTTGGTTATCTCAAGCTAAGAATCTGGGGATGAGTTGTGATCCAACACACCTGGTGTTTACCACACTCCACTGTATTACAACATTCTACTATCTAGGTTCATGGTTCGGTCATGCTTACAGAGCAAGAAGCTACGTGCTGTTTCACCGGCCTACTATGGAGTCAACATACAAAACTCTTGCTATTAGCATTTAGCAAAGCCCTTACTATTACAGTTCGGCAAAAATTACCTTTGAAAATTTGTTTTCTCACTAATAAACAGATAATACAAAAGATTGAGGGCATGACAATTATTAATATATGTGCTGACTAAAAAATCCTAGTATTGTTTTGGAAATAAGCAAGGAAGTTTTTCTAGTTATACAATACTTCATTACTACCTATTTGGATCAAGAGTTTTCAGGAGTAACGTAACAGATCCCACATGAAGTATCTTATTATTATTTTGGCATCAACTGCATGTAACATTTTATCTCTACAACAGTGGAGAATTTCCACCTGTCCAATCCTAATTTTCTATGATTCTAAGTTAGGTTGCTACAATTAAAATCATAGAAGTGGATATTTTACATTTCCAGAGCACAAATGTTCTCTCTTCTTATGTGTGATGGGTCCACATATCATTCTATAGGAAGAGCTGTTCCCTACCTCTTTCTATCTCTTTATCCTTTTCAAACTTGTTTTTAATGCAACTAGTTGAAACCAAATAATCACCATTAAAAATGTCTCCTGGTGTCAGCACATGGGATAATATACCTTGCTGTCCGTCTCCTTCACAATCCAAGTTACTATTATCATCAGATTTAATGATATGTATATTGCTATATAAAATATTCAAAACGTGTAAATGGTGTAGGAGCCCAAATCACATTTGTGGAAGTGATTTAAGAATGTTTTTTAAAGTTATTTTATAACTTGAAAAGGCAGCTACTATAGATGCCTGACAAAGAATATCTTGCATTCAAAAGCTTGTCAAGCTTTATCCCACCTAGTTGGTCCAATAAAAGATAGCATGCTAAGGAATCCCTGCCTCTCATATCAATTCATCTAAACATTCTATTATTAACATAGAACCAGACCCCTATTCTTTACTTAAGTAAAAAATTCACTTCTCTAAAAAACAGGCTTTCGCAAAATCATCACTTTTTTCCTCAGACCCGATGAAAAACGTCTTGAATTCAGAACTTTGTCTAACTTTATTCTAACCATGCAGTTGGCCCAATAAAAGATGACCCACAAAATTCTTAACCTATTGCAGGCTCTTGCATAATAATTTTTGGTTGGAGAGGTTAACTAAAATATGATTCAATCTGCCTTTAAAGACAGAGGGCATATACAACACATTCATTCTCAAAGTTAAATTCCACTCTATATTCAAGTCACTGCCATTGTCTCGCACAATAATTTAAATTCTAAAGGGAATGTAGATGTACCTTGTTTTTTGAAGAGGTTACTGCGTACTATTTCATTCATGGACTGAACTTTCTGCTTCTGTAGTTTTACTGGTGGAATGCAAGTATAAAATTCATACAGTAGTTGGCTGTAGATAAGAAAAAAAAATGTTAGAAATGCAACACAGATTTATTAATCATTTGCTAATCTGACAAATAGTAAAAGCCATCAAAATCACTATTGTCATTTTAAATATATATTTCCTAACATATTGTAGTACATTAAGTAGACAAAAATAGCAGGTGTGGAAAAACTAAAAAAAGGAAAAAATAAGATTGCGACTATTTGTAAAGGTTAACACTTGATATTACCCTTTTCCTCCATAAAAAACAAGCATTTTTTTTTTTTTTGTAATTAGGGGGCAATTAAACTTTTCCTCATCAACCAGAAAGAAATTAAGCTAATCTATTGCAGCCAACCAGAAGCATGACCTTTCTTCTCAGTGCCATTTATTTAACAATATGCCTTGTCCTACTTGTTAATTCCACTTACTGAACAAATATGTGAAAATTATGCCTGTTTTTTTTTTTTTTACTATCGTACAATATGAAAAAGACACCTCACTATTTAGAATAAAATGCTCGGAATTGGAAGCAAAGGCCTAGAGACTCAAGTAAAAAAAAACTAACACATCTCTATTGACTTAAAATAATCAGTGCCCATACATTGCAACTGAGAATTCTGGTTCATCGTCTGCATTAGATAAAACTGATGTATTTACATTCAGACAGCATCTGATAAACTACAAAAGGTGGTAGAAAATGTTACCTAAGCAACTTGGCATCGAAGACCGTTTCAACATCATGGAGGACTGAAGGTATGTATTTCAAGGCAGCAACCTGAACCAACAAATGAATGGTGTATTAATTCTGAAAGTATGTATATATATAAGCAGTCTATAGATACTACAGTCTCACAGATAACCCAACTCTATTCAGTCCCTCAAGATACACTTTATATAGTAGCAGCATGCAACTCACAGAACTTCAAAGGTTCTGCCTTCTAGTTATGGTATTCCAAACCTTGATTTCACAGCGCAAATTCACTAGTGGAATTAAAATGCATATAATGATCTGAAATAAATCATGACGATTTTCCTTCTACCTCTTGTCAAGAAGTTACTTTGTTCTATTTTATATGAATTGAACTATGGAGCACAGGACTACAACAAGGCTTTCCATAATATTTATTTTCTCTTTTGGGAGCATACAAATTGACTAGAAGTACACCAGCCAGACACTGAGTGGATTTCACACCCATTGGTGACAGTGCTTCCAATACTGGTACAATATAAGTCTATAGAAATAAAGGCTAGACACTTATCAAAGGAGAAGCCATGTGATCCTCTTTTACTCCAGCCCACCCCACATAAATATACTATGTACATTGCACAAATCGGCTGCAACTATTTATGCTGGTCATAAGCTGTGCAGTAATAGAGTAGCATCACTTTGAAATAACATGTTTACTTATGGAATTCCATTTAATGTCACTTCCCAAACAACCACTTTCCCAGATTTCACCTGTAGGGAGACCCTGACTCAGGATTTTAAATACCAAATTTTCTGGCATATAAAAAACCCCAATTATAATATGCATATAGCAAAATTTCCCCCCAAAAGGTTACCTTCTTTAGTAGACTTGAAAGACCACTAAAAAGGAGAAATGATTTTTAATACCTGTGAAGTGGAGAACAATGGGCCATTAATGGGCCACTGACTCCCTCAGCTGCCTGAAGAGTAATACCAGAGCTTAGTGTGGAGTAGGGATGAAAACAGGATGTTTCTACCTGGGCAAAACAAATCAGCCTCCCTGTTTCATACATGTATCCCAGTTTGGAAAGAAAAAGATGCATGCTGCATGAAATAAAATATTGTAATAGCTGAATGTTTATGTTGTGGATTTCTACTCCAAGCTATTTGACACTATAAAACAGAGGTTTTCAACCTTTTTTGGTCAATGTACCCCCAGTGGCTGGATGCAAAGCAGGATTGGCGGGGGTGCAGCTGAAAACCCCTGCTATAATGCAATAATAATTAGTAATAATTGATCATATATTATTAGAATGATATACATGCTTTTGTCCTGTGTAATCATAAGAACTAAAGTGCCATACTGGGTCAGACAAAAGGTCCATCTAACCTGGTATCCCATCTCTGATAGTGACAGAAGTGGATGCTATAGAGAGAAAAGCACTGAACTAGGTATATCTACAGTGATCTATCCCCTGTTCATTATGCTTCCTGGAATCCACCATCGTTGTTTTAGAAATGCCAGAAGATACATTCCTGACTGTTCTGTTCAACAGCTATTCATCTATGAATCTGTCTAGTCCCTTTATGAACTTGGTTATAATACCTTCCTCTACAATGTCCTGTGGGAATGAGTTCCAAAAATTACATTTGCACTGTGTAAAAAAGTAGTTTATTTTGTTAGTTTTAAACAGGTCTCCTACTAACTTCAGTAGGTACTCCCTGGTTCTAGAACTCTGGGCCTTGGTGCAGAACAGTTCTCTATTCCCTTTGTCCAGCACATTTTTGGACAGCCCAGATACTTCTAACACAGATACAACTGAAGAACCCAGTAGACATGTTATTCAGTTTCTTTAAGGGTTCCAGCAATAGAAGGTAAATTCAGCTTTTACAAGCAATGTTTTTAAAAACTACTTGTGGTGCTAAAGTGCTGACAAGTGGATTTAAGGACTAAAGTAACATGCCTACCAATTTAAAAATGAAACATTCTGAAGATCATTGTACATTATTCTCTCCCCTATTTATGGTCACAAATAGGACCTTTGAGATGTATAAACTATATTCTGAGATTATTTAGGCCTATCTTCGTGACATGCTTACCAAGCCTACCATACAATTAAGCATTCTGTGTTGCTCTGCCTCCCAAACTAGAAAGTAGTAGGCATGTTTGTGAGGTGCTTCTGTGGGTCAATTAGTACTGCTGGGTGATAGTGACAATTAGCCTACTACCACACTAACCAGATCACTTGCAACCCTACAAAGACACAATGCTTATGCCATAAGAGGCAGCCCATGTACTGACTGATAAAATGCATCTTGCTATACTTTCTATGCAACTTTGCAAGGAAAAGAAAAGGGTACTGATGCCACTACCATGTGTGTTCATGCCTCTCTAAAAACTCACGTTAACTTTATTATTGCACATAATACCCCCAATCATTCATACTGGTTAAGTTCAATCTCTGCCACCATCACAACTTGACAAATTTCAGGACAGTACCTGTGCAATACCTGTATGAACTTTAAATTTTGCAGCACTTACTTACTATCCAAAGTAAGTGAAAAATGTTTATTAAGAGGTATTTTGGAAAATATCTTCCCAGACCAAGCTACAAAGTCAATGCTGACATCACCCAGCAGGTAAGTCTATGGGGAGGGAAGTCCGACTCCCTGCCAGTGGCAGGGAAAAGTGGGGGGGGGGGGGGGGCCCCCCCCCCCCAGCAAGTAAGTCCCCCCCAGCCGGGCCCGACTCAATTTACCCCTGCTCCTGCCTCTGTGGCACTGTCCCTCACTGCGGTGACCTCAGTCTAGCCCCCTCATTTTCCCTCACCCACAGACTGACCTGCTGGGCTGGGGCATGTGCATGCATGCACACGGGCACTCAGCCCCCCACCCCAGCATTGAATCAAATCCAGGAGGCTCTGAGATCTACCAGTGAATCAAGATCCACTGGTTGGTGACCACTGGTATAGAGTCACACAGGCACAACCTGGAATATGATTTTAAAATGGTATAACTGACTTGAATAAACTAATATCATAAATAAAACTGGCCACATAGAGGTAAGTATTGAGTTAGTTAAGTTAATGCAAGTTTGTATTTCAACAAGGCCTGAGAAATTCAAAACACACAAAGCAACTGGCTCAAGCTCATACAGCCAGGGAGAATAGTTGTGTCTTCTCATTCCAAGCATTAAGCCCTAGCCATGGCTTCCTAAGTAATGGAATATCAAGCTATAAATAAATTGCACTGTAGCAAACAGCTTGCAGTACTTATATATACAAAATAAAATACATGGGTGTGTCAAGGAGTTTTAAGGTTTTGTTTCTTTGTCAAATGCATCTCACTGAAGAGCTAATATGAGCATTGGTACAATTTTGGTAAGCACAGCAAACTGAACAATTGAATAGGGAAAAGCTGTACTGTCAGGGAAAGAAGAGTTTCATTAAAATGAAACAGATTCTCCAATCTTTTTGCTGTCAACAGATCCCTTACTAACAAGTAATAGGTTATAATACAAATAATCTTTGAACCAATCATATTCTAAGCTGCCTTATGGAAAATAGAACCCCATTTCAAATGTTAATAATTTTCAAGTATATCACAACAACTTTCTTGTGAAATACAAAATAAGTATAAAAAAAGTAACAGAAAACAGGATAGCAGCTGAATTATATTTCTTAAACTGATGTCAAATAAATGCATCTATCACATTACATGAAACTGATATTTTTTATGACAATATACATCATTTCTATGGGGGTTGCTCCCACTAACTATAAATGGTATAACCCAGGCAGCTGAGCCCCCAGGTGATGGATATGGTTCTGCCAGTCAGAGGAATTCATCTACTGCCATAGCTACCCAGAAATTTTCCTAATGCTGGAAGAGTCCTTCTCCTGTCAAGAGTTGAATTCACACCGAGGTCTTTCTGGCACAGCTGTCTGTCATGGGACATGATCTTTTTATGCCACTAATCAACATACTGCTGCCAATTTGTGTAATATGAACAAAGATTCAGCAACTTGAACTGATGCATGATTAGGTTTGCATGGCCATGTTTTAAACTGGCACCTCTTAGCAATTTCTTAAGCCCATATGTCACCATTGATTCAGACTCACTAACATGCACCTGACATGCTAATTACATTTGAACACACACAGCTAAAACTTTTTCTCTTTTAAATAAAGAGTATACACAGAAGCCCCAAAAAGAGCTTGAAAGCTCTCTCAGGTGAAGAATGACAGGTGAGGTTTATAGACGTATGGCAGGAAAAGAAGGATAGCACCTCTGAACTCTGCTATCCAGCAATAAATATGGATATGCTCAAAACCTGGGAACACCCATATGAATTTTTTCCAGGAAGAAAGCGTGTCCCAGTTGATTTATGCAAGTCATTTTCATCTTGTGTAATTTTAGACCTTTTCACAGAAAACACTAACTACAGTTTTCTCTTTAGAAAAGCATCCAGGAGCTTCCTTCAAATGAACAATTAGAATAAAATCAACAAGTCACTGAACTCAACCAAATGTGATAAAGTATTTAACGTTGACTCTTAGCATTTGCATTTCCTGGACTTCTATAAATGTAGTTACAAACTAAAGAGAAGAGTTATTCTAACTAACTTATATAACTAGTAGACCTCTGCGTAGCAGCTAGTATTTGTTTCAGATTCAGATTCAGCTGATTCGGGGGACAGGGATTCGATTCAGTAATTTGAATCACTGTACCAAATCAATTCAGCTGAATCAGCTTTGGAGATTCAGCTGCTGCTGAATAAGCTGAATCTCTGAATTGCATAGGCCCCATCCCCCACCCGCTCTCCCAGCCCCAGCAATGGCTGCCCTGCCTGCCCCAGCTCCTGTCATTTTGAAAAAAAAAAAAGGGAAAAAAAAGCCCCAAGTTTCTTGCCCAGCAAGGGGTGATCCCCGCTGCCCCACGCTACATGGGGGGGGGCTCTGCCACAATTTCCCGGACCTCCTGCACTGTCCTAGCCCCCACTCCATGGCTGCCTTGCCCACCCCAGCTCCTAGCTCTTTAAAAAAAAAAAAAAAAAATAGCCCCAGGCTCACTGGTTCCAGCTAGG